AACCGAGGTAAGACTACTTGAGCGCTATAAACGCTTTTATGGATCGTAAAACGTCTTCTTTTACAGCCAATAAAGATCCCTGACCTATCCGCTTTGGCGAGCGGCTAAGTAAACGCGCGCGCGAAGAGGCGACGGTGATCGCGCATCGATCTGTCGAAATCACGCTTTACTACGCAATAAAATCACGCGGCGTCATGCTTTATTTTCTCTTCATGGGACTGCGAATCGCGGGTTTATTGGATTATTGATCGATAGCTCCGGGAATGCATTCGCGGGGAAAATGTGAATAGCCCCTGCCGACTCAGCACGGCGCGCGTTTTATACGGCACCTACACCAGGAACGCGCGCACACGGGCGCGTCGCCGCCGGATTCGACTCGCCACGCCGAGAAACAGGAAAGCCGTGAGTTACTATATAACCACGTCGATAAAAACAAACCATAAAGCGCATTACGGGCGATCATCGAACTACCGCTCAATATATCCTGCTTGGTGGGTAGAGACGACTCTAAATTAAGTTACGTACCGACGGAGAGGTCGGTAAGAGAGGCAAAACGTTATCGACCGAATAACGCTGATTCGTGCTGCCACCTGTCACGAGAGCGGTTTAAGTGGGTGTAAAATAAGTACCTCGCGGAGTGTTACACGGAATGATTCAAATTTTGAACGTTATTTTCCGTATTTCGCATATTTTACAAATATTTATCAACAATTAGGATAATCGATGCACCGTTTAATCATTTTGTGTCATAAAATGGCAATGAATTTTTATAATAAAGGATAAATTAATGGCAAAAATAGATATCCACGCCTTAGCCACGCCCACAGACAGAAGCAGCCATAACTTAATTCAGAAACTATTGAAACGGATAGATGGCATTGCTGTTGACTTTGCCAAAATTATTCGTTGGTTTTCATATACGCATAATATAAATACAATATAAAAAAAACTAAAGACTGAATATATAAAAAGCGTCTGATTATTTTCATTAGTTTATTATTTAAAGAATAATAATTAAAATAAATTGACTAATTAATCATATAAATTATCACCCAAAATGGTCTGAATTATACAAATTTGCTCATATCTGTGCAATATAATGTGTATATTATACATATATGTTATATGTCTTGTATATTATAATATTTATATTATATTATGCTTTATTTGAAAATTTTAATGGAACTATTTTCAAGATAAATTTCTTTCGTATAATATTGACATGAAAAACTAAGAAAGATAAAAATATTATATTTTTATTAATATTATTATATAAAATATTATATAGGTATTTTCTAAAACAAACGTAATAAACGTATTCACAGACATTTCTAACTTGAGAGAACAAATGAATTAATCATTCGATATCGCTGCAAGCTTCCCATATATTAGCCATTAAAACTCTCCTAAATTGCTTTTTCATGTCCACTGTCAAAATTTATCTTCACGTACATCTAGATCGACTTACAAAAGTAAATATATAATTCATTCGTTTTCGAATAACGGAATTTTGAACGAAATTACTTTTACGAAAAGTTTTACGTATTAGCAAATGTTTCTTCAACTTTGCCTGCTTTATTTAATAAAATATTTAATTGAGACGGGAAACCCAACTGGCTAGTTATTTAATTAGTTTATTACACAACGTTTCGACCTTATTCTTTTGGATCCTTTTCGAGTGATACTGCAAATCAACAACAACGCAGTTATGAACAATGTAGGTTAATAAATAAAAAGGATTTAGTTAAATAGGTAAAAGTTCAGTAACGCATCTAAGTCAATCATCGTCGTCGAATAAGACAGAGCCGAGTTATATTTAATAAAATATTTAATAAAAAAATTGTATACAATATTAATTATAATCGTATATTATATATTTAAAAAATTGTATATTAATCATAAAGAAAATGAAAGAAAAAAGGAATTACGCAATGAAAACGATGCAAGAATAAATACAAATATCAAATAAATTACAAAAAACTTATTAATCTAATTTTCCGTCAATTAATTTATTACGTTTCAACGATCGTAGCAGAAATCGGAAATGATTCCATTTCAAGTGTACGATTACTCTGATATGGGCGATTAAATAAGCACGATTAAATAAATATTACCGGCGAAGAGTTATTTAATCGCGATTCAAGTGGCGTACAATTACGGCGCAATCCACGGAGTTAATCGGGGAATCGCTTCGCTGGCGTAATATTACGTGCAATCGGGACAAAATTTATGCCCGAACTTCTTCGTCGCCCGAAGATACCAAAAAAGAGATATTAAGCGCTCCAGTAGGTTCCGAAGAATGAGGAGTTTCGATCGTAGTTCTCTGCCTGGCGTATCTCCTTTCTGCCGCAGACGTTTTAAATATTTTGAGAACGTATATGTAATAAATTAGTTTGATTTTTTATGGCAGTATTTATGCAATATTTTATATTTTACGTGCGTTATATTAAATTTTTTTTACATGAATTGTGCGTTTTTATTATAATATAAATCTACACGAGCTAAACAGTTTAAAAAAAATCACAGATACTTGAAGCTGCAGTCAATAGAAAACATTCACGTTTGTAGAACAAAAATATACGAGCGTAACTAAATTGACAAAGAATTACATCAGAACATGTAAACTATTTTTATAGTTTAACGTTTGACTATTTCCAAGGCCTGTTTTTTAGCTCAAACAAGCAAGGAATCTCTAGCAGTGACAGAGAAATGCTTTTTAAGTGAAAGTGTGAAAAAAGCGGAAATCGTTTTTTACAGTTGATATTGTCTGCAATGAAGGATTTAAAGGGGCATATATTTTCTGAGAATGAATAGTCGGCTCTCAAGTAGAAATATAAATTGTAAGGTAAATTTTTAGTAGCGTAACGAAATGGTCCCGGTCTTTTTACTACTTTCTTTCTTCTATTTTTACGTCACCTGTTCACTTTCGGCAACCTGCCGCTTCTAAATGTCTTATGACTTCCTTTCTTTTGAATTGGCGTGCTTTGACAGTTTTCGATTTTGCGACTAGGAAACTCGCGATACAAAACGTCGGGATTTTACCTCATATCAGATTCATTTAGAGTAACGGAAGCGAGCAGAACGCGATAAAAACCTGATAAGTTTTTTATTCGGCAGAGACGACAAGATAAACGCGATGCGATATTTCAAGTTTGCATTCGTCGCTCCCTCGGGATGCGCGTTCAGCGCAAGTTAAATACACGCGAATAGCATAACTTAGAAAATTATGAAGGCACGCTTGTACGCGGTTTATCCTCATTAAGCCCACGAGTAAACTTAATTTTAAAGCTGGCGCCGTGCTAAAAGCTCGAATCTCATTTTTAACGGTGCTTTTAACGTTTGTGCGACTATCATTTTTTTAGTGCACAGCACATAATCCTAACTGTTGCATCAAGCGTGTACGCCCGCTTTGTTAAATCACGAACAGTGTTGAAGTGCAAGTTTATATATTTTAATAATGTTGAAAAACATACAGATCGTTTATTTGAGAAGTTTCAATAATTTCCAAAGTATGCGTTGTACGGAAAATTGTAGAATACAAAAGTTGCAGGATTTTTTAAGGGAGATAAATGATGACGATCTTGATAACTACGTAAGTGGCAGTAATCAAGCTTATTTCACGTTCAGTTGTTTTTTCAACACACGAAGAAAATTTTCTCTTAAAATTTATCCTGAAAATCGTGTAATCGTGAGACAACATGGCATTTTGAAGAATTTTATGAGTTTCTTGAAATTTTACTATACATTTTACTAGTAAGTTCAAAAAAGTTGAAATAGACATAAATATTTTTATACTGTTATTGCGATAAATATTATCATGACTCGGTGGTCGAATTGGTGAGACACTCGCCTAGAGTGTAGAGAAGTCCAGGTTCAAACTCTGGCTGAGGTAATATTTTTCGCAATAAGTTTGCTGTATTATTAAAATTGCCAGATATGGTAAAAAAAAATACTGACGATTTTCCTATATAAAAATAGGCGTGTTAAGTCGATAGTCGAAAGTCTTGAAGTATTGTTGTCGCTTTTCCGAGATACTGATTGGCTGTCACGCTTGTGCGACACGACATGCTTCAATCGTGTTATTTGCAGCTGTCAAATCATGGGAATTTTTAGTGATAGCAAATGGCGCGCGCGAAGCGCGCACTTGTGTTGTCTGGTACTAGTAAATTGTACACTTACAATTAGTATTCGAAATACCGTATCGTCCCACGAGTACATGATTTTCAGGATAAATTTTAAGAAAAAATTTTCCCCGTGTAGAATACGATATTTTTCATTGCGAAATTTGAAAAAGCAGATAACAAACTTAATACTTTTGCTCGCCAGTAATAAAATAACGTAAACTTCAATTTTCCCTCGACGCAACTGGCATTATTTTATTAATCTTAAATAATATACAACGTTTCGACCGTACGGATTGCGGTCCTCTTCAAGCACAAATAATAAATATATCCAATATACAGTTACGGACACCCTTGCCGTAGGTAGACGTGCCTGCCAACACGTTTTACACTTATACACTCAGGATCTTTATAATTGTTGCGTAAATTGATTGACTAATACCACCCATATTAAATCGATTGGACATTTAGTTTACTATTGTAATGGAGTTCAAGTTGTTCAATGTTTTGTACTGTAATATATACTGAGACACACTGAAATCAATCTAATACGGTATATTGGATATATTTATTATTTGTGCTTGAAAAGCAGATAACTTTGCGTGCAAAACCCCTACAGTTGTTTGAATGTATGTATGCATATATTTCTTCGTAGCAAACAAAACTGTTGAAATAAAGGTATCGCTATTATGCGACACCATTACTGGCAATATAAATATAAAGAAACGTAATATGAATGTGGTATCAGTATGCACTGAAATGTTTAGACACGATTCATAGATCTTGTTCCAATCGAAAGATCACGTTACGGGCTGAGGGTTGATGAACGAAAGGAAGTTGCGGTAAAAAAAAAAAAGTGATGAGACAAATCGCACTTACCTTTAATACAGTTGTGTACATTGCGGTGCTAGTAGAGGGTGGTGTGGATTGGCGGTAGGATGGTCGGGGGGGCTCCGATGCAGGGCGTACCCCTAGTTGCCCCCCTCAGGTCCCCCACCGCCCCCTTGCTGTTGATGCGCAACCGCCGCCGCTGCCGCTGCCGCCTTTTGCGCCTGCGCCTGCTTTTCCTGCTCGTTTAGCTCCTTGATCGCCTGAATCTCCTTCTTCAACTTCATTCGCCGATTCTGGAACCAGATCTTGATTTGCCTTTCCGTCAGGCAGAGCGCGTGTGCCATCTCGATCCGCCTCCGCCTGGTGAGATAGTGGTTCGTGTGGAATTCCTTTTCGAGCTCCAGAGTCTGGTAGCGCGTGTAGGTCTGTCGCCCGCGTCTGCGCATTCCGTTCGCCCCTGCGAACAACGAAAACCAGAATTGCGGTTGAGCCCTTTTTCCTTTTTTGGGGGGGAGGGGGGTCGTATGTTATATCTGTCCGATTCCCGTAAGAATTTGCAAATAAAAAGCGGTTGAGAAGATGACACTTTTCAGGGAGTGTTAATCGACTCCTGTCAATGCAAGTACACCGTATCGCATTTCGAATGACGGAAGAATTTTATTATCTCGCTAACAGCGTGTGAACAATAGCTCCGCATAAACGTTATCAAAGTATTTGAAGTCGGAAGAAATCTATCCAGTAAAACTAAATGTTCAATTAGAAATAATACGAGAAATCGGCGAGGTACTTCGATGGGACCTGAGCGTGTAGATTTCATCGACTCGCCCTTCCATTCAGATTGCTTATCTTGTCCACAAACGAATTATGTTATCTTTATGAGCTGCCGCTTAAAATGCTTATTAAAAGAACATTTTAACGAATTTCTGATATCCCGTAGCGCTCTTGGACCGCGAATATCAGACGCGGCGGTATAAATGAGGCTCGTGCCGATAAAGGAAATGTGTAAACGACTTAAAATAAAGCGTGGCATGAGTCGTTCCGAGAGAAAGTAAGGGAGTATACGACAGCGAATAGGTACTGTTGAACAGTCACTTGGGTACAGTAGCGGAGTAAGCTCCGACGGTGGGGGCGCAAGCTCACCTTATCGGCCATTACTGCCTCGTAAAAACCCTCCCGTTTCACCTCTGCCACCGGTATCCAACCTAAACCAACCTCTCTTCTCGGCCGTAAGCAGCCTCCTTTTACTCCATTTTTGCTCGCATACGGTGCGTGCCCATGTGCATAAATATCCATAATGTAACGACTTTCGCCCTATCGGCGAATTATCCTTCCGCGTTTGACTTGAGTTCGTTCCGAATCGAGAGGTATAATTGTTGAATGGTGTAACGTAATTGATCAAGAATTTAAAAAACGCGTATATTATTTTATAGCCCTCCAACATAATTTGTTTGAAATCTTCTGATAACTGCCATTAGCAAAACAGTATTAAAAAATTCAAATGCATGTTAATAAAGATGAACATACGAAGATACTTGAAGGTTTATGAGCAGACTCATAGAGTTACAAACCTGAAACAAGGTATATACCAGGGTTAGGAAAGTTACTTTATAAAAGTATCTAGTTACAGGTACAGTCTCTTTCGCTAAAAATGTAATACAAGTTATCAATTCTGAAAAATAACGTGTTACAGTTACAGTTACTCAAAAAGTAACAAATCGTTGCTTTGCAATTACTTTCTTGCAATGAAAACAAAAATATCAAATCTGGAGGTTTAAAATATAAAATATAAAGTAACTATTAATGTAACTATTAAATTATATTATAGTTACTAGTTATCGAAAAAATGTAACTGAGTTAAGTTACAATTACAGACGAGGAGAAAGTAACGAAGTTAAGTTAGAGTTAGTAAAAAAAAAAACTGTAAGTGACTTTTTGTTACAAGTAACGAGTTACTCAACCTTGGTATATACGTAGTCTGTTTTCACAAATTTCAAAAAAGAATATAATGCACTACGATATAGCAATTCGCTTTCGAATATGCAAGACGTCAATGTCCCGATATAAAGCAAATCGTCTTATTGTTAGATGAACGCTTCAAGTCGCTCTGTACGCAGATCTGTTATCAAAATGCACAAAATGTGCACAAAGTCACGACACGTGCATATACAGTCGCAATTCCAGGCAGCCATTGTGTCCATATCATACCAAAACAAAGTTTATATCAGCATGATGTTTGTTATCACGACATAATCAAGTGCCCTGCCGGCCAGTCTACTACCCCTCCGGGCATTTCTACCCGTCCCCTTTGTCACCCTGTGACACCCCCACGATTCTCACGCCAGGTTGTCATGTCGGGCTCGCGCCGCGCGGAGGGGCGTGGAGTTACGGCGCTATGCGTTTTTAACGGTTATTTGTCACACGGACCCCATCGAGTCTGGTTCCCTTCCATTTCGGAATCTTCTGTCAAACCTTCCTATTATATCCCCGGCAGAGTCATTCTCTACGTGTATTCTATTGGCACGAGTTCCGAAACCTGAACGCGGTAGATCAAAAGCGACAAACTGTTTGAAACTTCATAAGTAAAACCGGAAGTCCCATTCCGATTAAATCAATTTCTTACATGTATGAAAGTATAGAATAACAAATATAGAATTTTGTAAGGCTAATTACTACATATCGCTGTAAAGTTGGCAGCTCATTTTCAAAAACTGAAAGTTTTAACAGGTCGGCTTGCACCTGCAATAGTCTTACAGTTTCTGGTAGTTTTAGAAATAGTTTCGTTGATTTGGAGAAAGTGACATATGAAACTGATAGAAACGCTAACTTTTCATAGCATCTCGAATTGTGAAAACAGTTGTATCAACTACAGATTTTTATAGTTGTAGAGGAGAGTTCTGTAGTTACCGATGAAATTTAATAATATAGTTCCGCTAATTATGTTTAAATAATTTTTTAATATACTAGCACTTTATTTTTAAAAATTGTTGTGCAAATCGTTTCAATCGACTTTCGATAGACTTTCTCACAGTTCTCGGTAATTCTCACACAGTCTCAACTATTTTGATACACTTTAACAATACCTCCGCTCGCTAACTATTTTTAAATATATTTTCAATCTGACCGCTGACACCTTATTTTTGATAAGTACACGATTATACGCATAATAGTATACGCTTGTATATTACTATGTGGGAATACCTTTGCAAGTTTTTATCTACGTTCGTTTCATTGAAAGGCACTTTGACGGCAGTACGATAAAACGCATAGTTGGAAGTAGCGAAGCGCCGATCGCGATATTAATATCGCGCTTAACTCGCGCTTCGCGGCAAAACTGTCCGTACAGCAGCGTAACTCTGCGTTCAGCTCAACCGTAGCTCAGGGATTATTTAAGATTAATTAGGAAATAAGATTTTCATAGAAAATAACATGTCTATTCAAAAGTTTATAATATCAAATAGTAAAATGTGTAAAACATAGAAAAAAAGGATAAAATACTTTACTCTTTATATTTATACGAATCTTACAAATACCGATGTGTTAAGAAATTATCTTATCTGTTTAGTTATTCATTCGCAATTACATGTTTCAAATCCACGAATTATGAATCTCACTCTGTATGACGTCTCATTCATGAGATATCGCGTACTAAACGAAATTAGGGGATGAAATATCAAGATTACCGCACTCCCCGTGAAGTAAAAAGAGATGCGCATAGCTGTTTAACCGAAGGGGTGGATAAATTTTATGCTGAGACCCTAAAATGCTTTCATTTGGAGGAACAAAGAAGAAGGAGATCGGTAAGGCATACCGGGGGGGATTGGCTGGCTGAGCAGCAAAGTGGGAAAACCGTAGAGCACGTTTAGAAGAGCGAAAAATATTTCGGTCGTTACTCACGCCTTTCTTGAAAAATGTTTGCCCGTATATTCTAAAAAATTTCAACCTCGCAGAAACCTTCGTCCGACGAATTGTTCTACCAAAAGTCTGAGTTATAATAAAAGTTTAAAATAATCATATCACGAAATATTGTGAGAAATAATTTTTTTCCTTACAAACTACCGTGTTCTGCGAAACTTTCGAACATTTATAATTTATCAATTTATAATCATAAATTCGACTCTTTCCAATATTCTTGTATTGTTACAAAAAGTAAATCCTCAAAGAAAAGCGCGATCTTAAAAAAAACATATTAGAAAAAGCAAATATATTAGAAAGTTTAAACTCGTTTGAGCGACAAAAATTTCACCAAATGCAATCAAATGGTTTTTTTTCGGCTCGTTGAGAACAGTTTCAAATGCGAAGGGGAATGCCGGTTGAAAGAGATCTGCCGAGTTTCGACGTATTCGACCATAAACTGAGGCAGGGAGCGACTTAACTGGTTGCCAACTCTAACAAGAACAGCCAATACGTTGATTGCTGCTGGGGATTTGCCGATATAACTTTGCAAAACACGATGCCAAAGCTTACCATCGGTAACCCTCACTCCTTTTCCGCTTCCCTGCTGACTACGTGCACGTATATATACGGAGTCGAATCATACATGGGACCAATCAAATCAAAGTAAGTGAATTGGGTCCATGAAGGACTTCCCAGACTTCCTCCCGAGATATCTCCCGTAGGCTTACCCCCCCGAGTTTCCGCAACGTTGGGTAGTTTTTGTATGTAAGATTAACGATATATCAATCGTGGGGAGGCCTTGTATTTCTTGCTTCCAAATTAAACAATAATTAACACTCCAATAAGAGTACGTTGTATAGAGCGTTTCAACAAGATTGAATTGTATCTTTGAAACGTGGTAAAGACAGAAAAATTTTATACCGCAAAATTAAATGAATTTTTTCCTCTTCCAGTAGTAATTTTTTCAAACTTAAAATTTTATAACTTTAAACTGCAGTAATTAATTGGAAAATTTTCAAGAAACTGCTCGGAAAAATTAATTTAAAAGATATTTTAACTTTAATCTTATAAAACAATGTGTGTATTTAGCATGTATCATTATGTATTATTTCATAATGCAAGTGCTATTATTTTTATAATCTTAAAGTTATGTCTTCAATTAATTTTCACAAACATGACGAGAAGAATAAAGGAAATAAATGATTGTGCGCGTGCCATCTTTCAGTATTATAAATTATATCGGTCCGAGTATCGGTCCTTTTCTAGTTGCTTAATTTGGCAATAATTAACGTAATTAAGTGCCCCATTTCGAGGGCGTATCCTATAACAATATTCCATCTCATTTGAGACGCTACAGTCCGTTCACGTATCACCAGTTTCGGTCTTCCGGTGCCATCCGGAACGCGCTCACGCTCTCGAAGAACCCTGTTTGCACGCGGCACGGGAGTACCGAGGACACTTGGTATGAGGAACGCGTAGCTACGCAGCAAGATCGTAGCTCAACGTGGGATATACCCTCCTCCAGCCTTGCCAAGGTAGGTAATCCTCTCGGGGGCGTGAGTT